ATATAATGTATAAATGTACACCAATGTAATTCTTTGTCGTGCCTCATCCGAGCAGGATCAGATGGTGACGGGGGTCTCATCAGGGTCAGGCAGCCAGGGAAGACCTGTCTGTGACGCCGCTGAAGTGAACTTTTTCAGATGCAAAACTTTATTTTCTCTGTGAAGCAAACACAGGACAAGCCAGGAGCTTCAAAGATTGAAACTATTTTAAGGCAGTCTGATTAACCTCTAAAGTTGATTTCCAAACTGTGTCAAGGGTTGATAGAGGCTTTTTCCCCGGTTCAGTGTTATACCTGCTAGAGCTGCCCCGGTCAACTGTAAGTGCAGTTATTGCGAAGTGGAAACGTCTTGGAGCAACAACTGCTCAGCCGCGAAGTGGTAGGCCACACAAGCTCACAGAACGGGACCGCTGAGTGCGGAAGCGTGTAGCGTGTAAAAATCGTCTGTCCTTGGTTGGCAACACTCACTACCGAGTTCAAAGCTGCCTCTGGAAGCAACGTCAGCACAAGAACTGTTCGTCTGGAGCTCATGAAATGGGTTACCATGGCTGAGCAGCTGCACACAAGCCTAAGATCACTATGCGCAATGACAAGCGTTGGCTGGAGTGGTGTAATGCTCAACGCCATTGGACTCTGGAGCAGTGGAAACACGTTCTCTGGAGTGATGAATCACGCTTCACCATCTGGTAGTCCGACGGGCAAATCTGGGTTTGGCGGATTCCAGGAGAATGCTACCTGCCCCAATGCATAGTCCCATCTGTAAAGTTTGGTGGAGGAGGAGGAATAATGGTCTGGGGCTGTTTTTCATGGTTCGGGCTAGGCACCCTTTGTTCCAGTGAAGGGAAATCTTAACGCTACAGAATACAATGACATTCTAGATGATTATGTGCTTCCAACTTTGTAGCTACAGATTGGGGAAGGCCCTTTCCTGTTTCAGCATGACAATGCCCCGGTGCACAAAGCGAGGTCCTTACAGAAATTGTTTGTCGAGATCGGTGTGGAAAAACTTGACTGGCCTGCACAGAGCCCTGACCTCAAGCCCATCGAACACCTTTGGGATGAATCGGAACACCGACTGTGAGCCAGGCCTAATCGCCCAACATCAGCGCCCGACATCACTAATGCCCTTGTGGCTGAATGGAAGCAAATCCCTGCAGTAATGTTCCAAAATCTAGTGGAAAGCCTTCCCAGAGAAGTGGAGGCTGTTATAGCAGCAAAGGGGGGGACCAACTCCATATCAATATCCATGATCTTGGAATGAGATGTTCAATGTCTGTCCACATACTTTTGGCCATGTAGTGTATGTTTGAATGCCGAGTCGTGTTCATATAATCTCAGACATAAATGAATGCATTAACGCCATCCATTGAACGCACCACATGCCAGTGAAACTGAATTTCATCCACTCAGAAATGTCATTCCTCTGCTGGAGGTGTAAAACACAAAAGGGGACATACACTGAACAAAAATATAAACGCAACATGTAAAATGTTAGTCCCATGTTTCATGTGCTGAAATAAAAGATCCCCGAAATGTTCCATACGCACAAAAGCTTATTTCTCTCAAATGTTGTGCACACATTTGTTTACATCCCTGTTGGTGAACAGTTCTCCTTTGCCAAGATAATCCATCCATCTGACAAGTGTGGCATCAAGAAGCTGATTAAACAGCGTAATCATTACACAGGTGCACCATGTACTGGGGACAATAAAAGGCCACTCTAAAATGTGCAGTTTTGTCACACAACACAAAGCCACAGATGTCTCAAATTTTGAGGGAGCTTGCAATAGGCATGCTGACTGCAGGAATATCCACAAGAGCTATTGCCAGATAATTGAATGTTCATTTCTATACCATAAGCCGCACCCAACGTCGTTTTAGGGAATTTGGCAGTACATCCAACCAGCCTCACAACTGCAGACCACGTGTAACCACGCCAGCCCAGGACCTCCACATCCGGCTTCTTCACCTGCAGGATCGTCTGAGACCAGCCACCCGGACAGCTGATGAAACTGAAGAAGATTTCTGTCTGTAATAAAGACCTTATGTGGGGAAAAACTCATTCTGATTGGCAGGTCCTGGCTTCCCAGTGGGTGGGCCTGGCTCCCAAGTGGGTGAGCCTATGCCCTCCCAGGCCCACCCATGGCTGCGCCCCTGCCCAGTCATGTGAAATCCATAGATTAGGGCCTAATGAATTTATTTCTAATGACGGATTTACTGTAACTCTATAAAATCTTTAAAATTGTTGCATCTTGCGTTTCTATTTTCGTTCAGTATATTTGCATTTGTTATGTTCTTGTGAAGGCTGGCTGAATTCTGGCAGAGAGAGAGTTCTTTTATCAGATTCTCCCTGCTCTCTGTTTTCTCTCTGTTTTGTTTGTTTGGAAATGTTGATACTTAATTGGAAGGTTGGTTATCCTCCCACAATGTCACAATGGGATGGCAGAAATGTCAAGTTATGTATCACTAGATTTGATTTATTACAAGATTAAAGGTCTACTGTGCAACTTGCATAAGGTCTGGATGCCTTATATGGAATACTGTATGACAAAAGGAGTCTGTCTTGAAAACATGCCCACGTCAGGGGAGATACCTATTTAGGGAATCCCTAGCTGCTGGGCTGCTCAGTCCCGGCCCTGGGGGTCTGCCGTACTGTTGGTTGTCACTCTGACCTTGGCCTAACACACCTGAAACCAATAATGAATGTTTCAACAAGATCCTAAAGCTGAGTGGGGTGTGTTGGGTTGGGGCGCTGCAGGGCGGTGGACCCCTAGGGGCAGGACAGGGTGATCCAGTCCCCCCGTTTTAGGGGAGCAAAAGTATCGGGACAAATTCACTTGTATGTGTATGAAAGTATTAGAAAGTGAAGTATTTGGTCCTATATTTACAGCACACAATGACTACATCAAGCCTGTGACTCTACACATTTGTTGAATGCATTCTGTTTGTTTTGGTTGTGTTTCAGATTATTTTTTTGCCCAATAGAAATGGTAAATGATGTTAGGTGAAAAGGTCAGGGTTTCATAGCCGCTGGCAGAACAGCAGAAACTGGATCAGCAGCACGACCAGGTGGACTGGGGACAGCCGGGAGTCATCAGTCCAGGTGGTCCTGAGGCATGGTCCTAGGGCTGTCATTACATTTTACATTTTAGTCATTTAGCAGACGCTCTTATCCAGAGCGACTTACAGGAGCAGTCATAGTGTGCTTGGTTAAATACTGTAGCTACAGTGGTGTGAAAAAGTGTTTGCCCCCTTCCTGATTTCTTATTTGTTTGCATGTTTGTCACACTTAAATGTTTCAGATCATCAAACACATTTTAATATTAGTCAAAGACAACACAAGTAAACACAAAATGCAGTTTTGAAATGAAGGTTGTTATTATTAAGGGAAAACAAAATCCAAACCCACATGGCCCTGTGTGAAAAAGTGATTGCCCCCTACAACCGAATAACTGGTTGGGCCACCCTTAGCAGCAACAACTGCAATCAAGCGTTTGCGATAACTTGCAATGAGTCTTTTACAGCACTGTGGAGGAATATTGGCCCACTCATCTTTGCAGAATTGTTGTAATTCAGCCACATTGGAGGGTTTGCGAGCATGAACTGCCTTTTTAAGGTCATGCCACAGCATCTCAATAGGATTCAGGTCACTCCAAAGTCTTCATTTTGTTTTTCTTCAGTCATTCAGAGGTGGACTTGCTGGTGTGTTTTGGATCATTGTCCTGCTGCAGAACCCAAGTTCGCTTCAGCTTGAGGTCACAAACAGATGGCCGTGCATTCTCCTTCAGGATTTTTTTGGTAGACAGCAGAATTCATGGTTCCATTTATCACAGCAAGTCTTCCAGGTCCTGAAGCAGCAAAACAGGCCCAGACCATCACACTACCACCACCATATTTTACTGTTGGTATGATGTTCTTTTTCTGAAATGCGGTGTTACTTTTACGCCAGATGTAATGTGACACACACCTTCCAAAAAGTTCAACTTTTGTCTCGTCAGTCCACAGAGTATTTTCCCCAAAGGTCTTGGGGATCATCAAGATGTTTTCTGGCAAAAATGAGACAAGCCTTAATGTTATTTGCTCAGGAGTGGTTTTCGTCTTGGAACTCTGCCATGCAGGCCATTTTTGCCCAGTCTCTTTCTTATGGTGCAGTCATGAACATTGACCTTAACTGAGGCAAGTGAGGCCTGCAGCTCTTTGGATGTTGTTGTGGGGACTTTTGTGACCTCTTGGATGAGTCGTCGCTGCGCTCTTGGGGTAATTTTGGTCGGCCGGCCACTCCTGGAAAGGTTCACCACTGTTCCATGTTTTCGCCATTTGTGGATAATAAGAAATCAGGAAGGGGGCAAACACTTTTTCACACCACTGTATTGACAAGAGAACTGAATATCCAATATAAAACTAGTTTTATACCTGCAGGAACCTGCTCTCTAAAAAGTGGGGTAAACAATACTTTCCTGTGGATATTTTGTCTCAAATTTCGAGCAGCTGAAGGACAAATCTCACAGACAACCAATAGAGTAAATTCGAATGTAATTTTATTCAACATTCTGGCTTCAAAGGAACATTTACACGATTTTGCACTCAAATGTTTCAGGCTATATACCAACTAATGTTGTATTACAGCCTGATTAATCCGACTACCTACAGAAGTTTATGTGTAGTGATAATGTAGGTCAATGTATAATCAGGGTAGGTCAAATCACCCTATAACTCAAGGAAGATTAGTTTGACTGACTGCATGCAGAATGGCATTGCAATGGAGCCGGTGTGCACCGTGACTGTGAATAAACCAAATGCAATTCTGCGATACTGAAGAGAAATTCAATAATCCCTCCTCTTCCAGAGCGATCCTCTTCGAAACGCCCTCGGGGAGGAGGTAGTGAAGTAGCATTCTGGTGACAGAGGACCATACACGGCGATCGAGGTGGAGGCTCGGGCCGATTAGTGCCAGCGCCATGCGGGGCTGTTTGTGATTAACTGCTGCTGGGGACTGGGGGTATGGAGATGTTGCGTCGCTCCTCAGTATTCGCGGCTGAAGTGATGGAAGTATTTGACCGATCCCCCACAGACAAGGAGCTGGTGTCACAGGCGAAGGCGCTATGCAGGGATTTCATACATTCCAGGCTGAACAGGACCGGGATTGGGTGGTCGAAACCCGAGCAACAGCTGTCGGCATCAGGTGGGACATTTGGAGAAATCTCCTCTGTCCTCATGTGGTTAGGTAAGAACGCAGTTTGTGTACATTGGTGGGCTACTGTGTCTGTCTGAATGACAGGCTGCGTACCTATTAAGGGCTGTATTCAGCAACACATCCTATAGGACCATTTTAGAAAGCACTTAGTAATATATTGTCTACAATGTCCAAATATTATAGACTGAACGATAGTTTTTGAGCCAGCCAATGCATGTTAAAGGGTGTTCATTCATAAAATGATTAGTTAATTCAAGGTTTATACAAACATGTCCATTCAATAGAAAATTCCGACAGAAAAACAATTGTCCGAACCCCATGTCTCTCAAAAGTTAGACGATTTACTGAAAATTGAGCATGTTTAGAGTGAATGGAATGTCATCACAGGCATGATCAGAAAGTCGCTTCTCCGCGGCAGAACGGTGCTAACTTACAACTGTTCCTGTTTTCAATGTGTATTTCCCTTTACATCGCCATAGAAACGGCCCCTCTCAAAGTAGATTGATCGCCAATATTGGCTTCATTGCTAAGGATCTGGATGTGAAAATGATGAAAGCATCAAGTTGATTTTGATGAATCCAACCAGTGGAAACAACTCCAAATGGTACCACCTCACAACACCAAATATGGAAGCGATGCAACCAAGCGCTGCGCGGTCTAAACTAGCAACGGTCACAGCAAATTGACCTTCTTATTTCATCAACACTGTCAGGTACAAGTATATTAAGGTTATAATATTGTAGAGAACAATTTAATGATTATTTCTATGTAATTTATAATGACACAGGGCAAAGAAATGTTGACATTAATTTCGTAGCGCCCTCTCAAAGTGTGTTTTTCCCCTAGTCACCAATATTACTTGGAGTCCCATCACAAAATCATTCATATACACTACCAGTCAAAAGTTTTAGAACACCTACTCATTCAAGGGTTTTTCTTTATTATTTTTTTTACTATTCTCTACATTGTAGAATAATAGTGAAGACATCAAAACTATGAAATAACACATATGGAATCATGTTGTAACCACAAAAGTGTTAAACAAATCAAAATATATTTGAGATTCTTCAAATAGCCACCCTTGCCTTGATGACAGCTTTGCACACTCTTAGCATTCTCTCAACCAGCTTCACCTGGAATGCTTTTCCAACCGTCTAGGAGTTCCCACATATGCTGAGCACTTGTTGGCTGCTTTTCCTTCACTCTGCAGTCCGACTCATCCCAAACCATCTCAATTTGGTTGAAGTCGGGGGATTGTGGAGGCCAGGTCATCTGATGCAGCACTCCATCACTCTCCTTCTTGGTCAAATAGCCCTTACACAGCCTGGAGGTGTATTGGGTCATTGTCCTGTGGAAAAACAAATGATAGTCCCACTAAGCCCAAACCATATGAGATGGCATATTGCTGCAGAATGCTGTGGTAGCCATGCTGGTTAAGTGTGCCTTGAATTCTAAATAAATCAAAGACAGTGTCACCAGCAAAGCACCCCCACACCATAACACCGCCTCCTCCATGCTTTACGGTGGGAACCACACATGGAGAGATCAGCCGTTCACCCAGCCGTCTCACAAAGACACGGCGGTTGGAACCAAAAATCTCCAATTTGGACTCCAGACCAAAGGACACATTTCCACCGGTCTAATGTCCATTGCTCGTGTTTCTTGGCCCAAGCAAGTCTCTTCTTCTTATTGGTGTCCTTTAGTAGTGGTTTCTTTGCAGCAATTCAACCATGAAGGCCTGATTCACACAGTCTCCTCTGAACAGTTGATGTTGAGATGTGTCTGTTACTTGAACTCTGTGAAAACATTTATTTGGGCTGCAATTTCTGAGGCTGGTAACTCTAATGAATTTATCCTCTGCAGCAGAGGTAACTCTGGGTCTTCCATTCCTGTGGCGGTCCTCATGAGAGCCAGTTTCATCATAGCGCTTGATGATTTTTGCGACTGCACTTGAAGAAATGTTCAAAGTTCTTGAAATGTTCCATATTGACTGACCTTCATGTCTTAAAGTAATGATGGACTGTCGTTTCTCTTTGCTTATTTGAGCTGTTCTTGCCATAATATGGACTTGGCCTTTCACCAAATAGGGCTATCTTCTTTATATCCCCCCTACCTTGTCACAACACAACTGATTGGCTCAAACACATTAAGAAGGAAATAAATTCCACAAATTAACTTTTAAGAATGCACACCTGTTAATTGAAATGCATTCCAGGTGACTACCTCATGAAGCTGGTTGAGGGAATGCTAAGAGTGTGCAAAGCTGTCATCAAGGCAAAGGGTGGCTATTTGAAGAATGTCAAATATACAATATTTTGATTTGTCTAACACTTTTTTGGTTACTACGTGATTCCATATGTGTTATTTCAAAGTTTTGATGTCTTCACTATTATTCTACAATGTAAAAAATAAAGAAAAACCCTTGAATGAGTAGGTGTTCTAAAACTTTTGACCGGTAGTGTAAGTGTTCATGCAATGTTGTTCTGCAGTAAGATGTCAGTTGACTGATGTTGCAGCATCTTAGCCTGATTTATATTGACTTTCTGGCAATTGTGTAATCAGGGCCGGTTCCAGGCATAAGTAATATAAGCGGCCACTAGGGGGCCCCAACCCAAAACATTTTATTTAGAATTTTTTGAGGAACTCAGTGGGGTCTCAACTTACTGTTGAGGGTAAGAATAGTAGAATACACCAGGTGCAATGTCAAAATATGTGCATCATTAGTTTTTCTCTTGTTATGTCTGTCACTGACAGTCACTCAATTAGCCATGTTAGCTAGCAATTGTTAGATTGGTAGTTACTGTAGTCTAGCCAGCGACAGTTGAAGTCTGTATCTAAACTTGTAGTAATAATGACCGAATATCAACTGGGCACGCAGGACACGTGCCCAGGGGCTCCTGCGTCGTCTGTTGATCCGGTTATCCTCATCGTGGTACTCCAGCCCTCGGAGGCATGATTGGTGTCACACTTTTCCCCGGCCCCAGCTAACACACCTGATTAAACTAACTAGAGTCCTGTAGAGATTCACCTGAAAAACATATAAATGGTGTCACAAGACTTTGTTTGCAAACAACTGTAGCAACACTAAAACTTTTTTTTTTTAAACCAAGCAATTCTCTCATATCTAACATAGATGCTTGTGGTCGGCACATCATCTCTTGCACATCTATCATTCCAGTGTTAATACTAATTGTAATTATTTTGCACTATAGCCTATTTTATTGCCTTACCTCCATAACTTGCTAAATTTGCACACACTGTATATTATATGTATTTCTGTTGTATTTTTGACTTTGTTTTGTTTTACCCCATATGTAACTCTGTGTTGTTGTTTTTATCGCACTGCTTTGCTTTATCTTGGCCAGGTCGCAGTTGTAAATGAGAACTTGTTCTCAACTGGTTTACCTGGTTAAATAAAGGTAAAAAAAAAAAAAAAAAGAAAGTGTAGTGTTGAGTCAATGTTGCTAATTATTGCTGTTAAACAAAGGAGTCCGCTTATACTGAACTTTGATCATAAGTCTTATTCATATCACAAGATTTCAGCATAAGTGTACAGATGTCTAGATCACCCGGAGAGCAGTGTTTTCCCAAATTGCAATGTCTGCTCTAACGTTCTTTGTTCAAACCCAGTATTTATAATATTCCCCAAAATTTGGGTTGCTCCCTCTACTGTCCAATCCCCTGTCTTCTATGGGGCGTCACCCTAAAAACGGCTCTCTTTGAAACTAAATAAACATCCTCTCAGGTTCCACTTGAAACCTTATCAAAGTCATAATCTTCATATACTACAAAAGCAAACAGGTTTAGGTAACAAATGTTCAGAGTTGGATCATGTCTACATACAGTAGCCAGGGAGAGGTGAGGTGGGGAACGTGATTAGTCTAGATAGAACAGCATTTCTGTTTTTTGCCCTAGCACTACACAGCCGTTTCAAATGATAACATCATCAAGTGTTAATGATTTGAATCATCAAGTGTTAATGATTTGAATCAGGTGTGTAGTGCTAATGCAAAAACAGTATCTTCCTCGACTGTCCCTGTCCCACACTGGGCTGGATTTGTACTCCTCAGTCTTGCCCTCATCGTTCTTCAGTGAGACGAGGTGGTGGCATTGGGGGCGGGGGGGGGGGGGGGCTCTGTCTCATTTATCCGAGGTAGGCCTCTCCAGAGGAACACTGGGGGGGGGGGGGGGGGGGGGGACATATGGGGACATATGGAAAGGAGAGTAAATTGACATGGTCTTATCAGTCAAGCGTACCAGTATAAATACAGGTATTCTGGTTGGAAATTGGGTGCTTACTGTCTCTGAACATCTAGCTGGCATCCCAGCTACTAAACTAACACCAGCCATTAGACTAACAAAGAGATACAAGAGAATGGTAGCTAGTGTGTGTGTGTGTGTGTCAGTGTGTGTCTCGCTGTCTGTCACCAGAGTGGTATAGTACGAAGCAAGCTAGATCTACTCAGGCTTTTATAAAGCTAGCCAGCTTCAGTTAGCTTCACATCCCAGGTCAAGCTTCATCCGTACTACGACGGTGGATATCGCTCGCCTGCCCGCGTGCCGCATATGGCTAGTCGAACGCCAAACTCTTCATTGAGACAACGCTGAAACATCAATTAATGGACTCGCCAGTGTGACGAAAACAAAATGAAAGAAAAGTTATCTTGCAAATTCAGCAGGCTGTGGTGTGGAATAGGCTCTTAGAAGTGTCGTCTTTATTTTATGACTTATTGTTAATGCCGTCTTTGGTGTTGCTTATCAATGCACAACCACCCTTTTCCCACTCCTATCTGTGGAACAGCTTGTTTTGTTGTGGCCATAGACATATAATCCATAGAAGGGTTTTGGAACCTCTTACCCTGGCAATTTGACTGTTAAACTCATGGGTACACTAGCAATGGCTGCCAGTCTTGACTTGAATGGGAACCGCCATCTATGGATTATATTTCTATGGTTGGTTGCGGCTGTCAGTTTGCCTTTTCACAAATGTCAAAAAACAATCACGCGACAAACATACAGTTTGGAAACCAAATGCTGTCCTTACTAAATGTGTAATTTGATAGCTACACTGCTCAAAAAAAATAAAGGGAACACTTAAACAACACATCTTAGATCTGAATGAATGAAATAATCTTATTAAATACTTTTTTCTTTACATAGTTGAATGTGCTGACAACAAAATCACACAAAAATTATCAATGGAAATCAAATGTATCAACCCATGGAGGTCTGGATTTGGAGTCACCCTCAAAATTAAAGTGGAAAACCACACTACAGGCTGATCCAACTTTGATGTAATGTCCTTAAAACAAGTCAAAATGAGGCTCAGTAGTGTGTGTGGCCTCCACGTGCCTGTATGACCTCCTTACAATGCCTGGGCATGCTCCTGATGAGGTGGCGGATGGTCTCCTGAGGGATCTCCTCCCAGACCTGGACTAAAGCATCCGCCAACTCCTGGACAGTCTGTGGTGCAACGTGGCGTTGGTGGATGGAGCGAGACATGATGTCCCAGATGTGCTCAATTGGATTCAGGTCTGGGGAACGGGCGGGCCAGTCCATAGCATCAATGCCTTCCTCTTGCAGGAACTGCTGACACACTCCAGCCACATGAGGTCTAGCATTGTCTTGCATTAGGAGGAACCCAGGGCCAACCGCACCAGCATATGGTCTCACAAGGGGTCTAAGGATCTCATCTCGGTACCTAATTGCAGCCAGGCTACCTCTGGCGAGCACATGGAGGGCTGTGCGGCCCCCCAAAGAAATCCCACCCCACACCATGACTGACCCACCGCCAAACCGGTCATGCTGGAGGATGTTGCAGGCAGCAGAACGTTCTCCACGGCATCTCCAGACTCTGTCACGTCTGTCACATGTGCTCAGTGTGAACCTGCTTTCATCTGTGAAGAGCACAGGGCGCCAGTGGCAACTTTGCCAATCTTGTTGTTCTCTGGCAAATGCCAAACGTCCTGCACGGTGTTGGGCTGTAAGCACAACCCCCACCTGTGGACGTCGGGCCCTCATACCACCCTCATGGAGTCTGTTTCTGACCGTTTGAGCAGACACATGCACATTTGTGGCCTGCTGGAGGTCATTTTGCAGGGCTCTGGCAGTGCTCCTCCTGCTCCTCCTTGCACAAAGGCAGAAGTAGCGGTCCTGCTGCTGGGTTGTTGCCCTCCTACGGCCTCCTCCACGTCTCCTGATGTACTGGCCTGTCTCCTGGTAGCGCCTCCATGCTCTGGACACTACGCTGACAGACACAGCAAACCTTCTTGCCACAGCTCGCATTGATGTGCCATCCTGGATGAGCTGCACTACCTGAGCCACTTGTGTGGGTTGTAGACTCCGTCTCATGCTACCACTAGAGTGAAAGCACCGCCAGCATTCAAAAGTGACCAAAACATCAGCCAGGAAGGATAGGAACTGAGAAGTGGTCTGTGGTCACCACCTGCAGAACCACTCCTTTATTGGGGGTGTCTTGCTAATTGCCTATAATTTCCACCTGTTGTCTATTCCATTTGCACAACAGCATGTGAAATTTATTGTCAATCAGTGTTGCTTCCTAAGTGGACAGTTTGATTTCACAGAAGTGTGATTGACTTGGAGTTACATTGTGTTGTTTAAGTGTTCCCTTTATTTTTTTGAGCAGTGTATTTTAACGTAACCATTTTTTTTACACACACAAAAACCTTTGATTTAATAAAATATTTAATCAGTCGTCTTCCACAAATGAAGGGGATGATGACTCAGTCTTTTCGAGACGGATGGAATCTGATTTCATTGGTCCTCAACTCGCAGCTCAGACATTTCATTCAGGATAAATGGAGTAAGCCCTGAGATAGCCTGCCCCGGAGCAGGTTAGTTCTGAAGGATTCATTGCCATAGAAATTTCCCTGGCGAAAAGGTGAGCCACTTTCATGTTATCGGTTATCCTGAGTTGAACTCAGTTGAGCAAAGTTACCTCGCTAACTCCTCAAGCCTGATTCGTGGTATAGGGCTCAGGACGAAGCCCTCTCTCTTGCCCGTCTCATCTGTCCCACCCGCTACAGCACTGTGCTCCCAGTTCAACCTCCAACAAGCTGATCGCGGTGTCTGTGAATGCATCCATCCACACAACCCAGAGACATAACATTAAAAATCAACCATACACTAACAATATCTACAAATAATTAATAATTTTGGCAATTTTGGCACTGTAACGGTTTATTTACGAAGGCTCTTACAGCATATCTCACGTATGGCGTCTTTACATGTGTAGGCAGATACTCTTCATCAAACATCAGTAAAATGTCTTTCTTCCGTCTTTCCATCCACTGCAGGCACTGTGCTCCCACCACTACTGGAAACTTCTTCTTAAGACATGAAACCTCAATGTCCAGCGACACTCCTGATATCGCACCTTTTTTAATTGGTGCCCTGCTCCAATTTATGGAGCCACAAAGATTTCTCCTTCTACTCTTCCGAGGCGCATTAAATTAAAACAAAACCACACCTGGTAACTCTGACTGATTCTACCTTTCCCTAATGCATCCTTTATAACCTTTGACCTCAAATGGATCTCCCCAAGTATACATCATTATTAACAAATTGCACTCCAACAAGAAACCGATGATAATCTACAACTTGTGTTATTCTTGCTCTATTTTTAGTTGCCACGGTCTTCCACTCTCTCGCCGAGCACCATCAGAATCAACCAGCACTTCTACTTCCACCACGATTCCGTCCAGTTGTTGCTTCTCCAACCTTCTCTCCATATCCTCCATCGCCGCATCCTCACTACTCGCCGGCATTCCGCTCCCAAAATAGCGGTTTGAACCAGTCCAACAGCTTCCGCTCCGTACACAAACCATTTAACGTGCGTGCCAACCAGATGTAATGATGAGTTCAATGTACGATGTCATAGGAGCAACCGAGCAAACACCACCTCTTCCTCCCTAATCTGACCTATGAATCTTGGTCCACCGACCTTTCTTTGGAGGGCATATAAATGCCGGCCCTTGGGCTCGCTGTCCCAACTCTTCTGCCACACATCTATCATAAAGGTGTTCATCTTACATTTGGCTTCACCCACTTCTCCCGGTCGTACTGTCTGAGCTAACTTGACTGTGTATCAGGGTTCCCCAACTGGCGGCCCCCGCGGGTGGTTTATTTTTTTAGTTGTATTGTTTGCATATCGTTGTATTCTAAATGTGTGTGACTGTCCTTGTCTATCAGTGTATCAGTGTTTTGTTACTTGTCATGTTGTATGTTTTTTTTTGTGGACCCCAGGAAGAGTAGCTGCTGCTTCCGCAAGAGCTAATGGGGATCCAAATAAACAAAAACAGCTAAAATGGCATTGTTCGGCCCAACGCGGTATTCAGAAAATCCATCATGGGGGAAGTTACGTACTGTGGTGTATTCCTTTTTATGAAAACATATGCACAATTAAATCATTATACAGTATAAACGTGTTATTTAATTGTGAGACCTTTCTACAGTTGATCTAGTGTCTGTAGCTTAAACTGTTGAAGAGCTGTACCATTTTGAAAACCAAAATAGCCTGCCATTGACAGACATGTTGTTTTTATGCAATTCCAAATAGTGGCAGGACTTGTGTTTATTATCAGACCTTCCGGGAAAAAAAACCCTTGGAAATAAATACAAAAACATATGTTTTAAGTGAAATATTAGCTTTTGTCTGAAGCCGGAAAAAGACCTTCTCTCAAACAGCCTAATACATACTCTACATACTCTACATTAATGTACTTTGTAAAGTAAACGTGTTTTTTCATGTAAGATATAATCCCATTCCACTCATTGTGTATTACATGAAAAAACACGTTTACGTTACCAAGTACATTTAATGTGCTAAACCCTCTCTAAGAGTATGTATTAAGCTCTTTCAGAGGTTTGAATCCTAAATCAACCCATCCAATGTGAGTACATCCTGTTGTTGAAGTACAGTAGATCAACAAAGCTACATACAGTACTCTAGCAGTAGTCAAGCTGCTTATGCTGAAAAACCCTGTTAGTGCATAGGTCAAATTTAGCTTTTAGAATTTTCTGTATTTTCCGGGCCTCATAAAAAAGCTGATATTTCACTTAAAACAAAGTTGTTTTGTATTAATAGGCTCAGTTTATAGGATTCAGCTATTTTATAGGCTTTCTATAACCTAGTAGCCAAGCCTACTTGATCAGATTAGCTTGGTGTTGGAATTTGTCTCTCTGTTCAGACTCCTCTCCGGACATCTAACTAAAGTCATGAGTTTGTGGAGGTTACCTAGGCTACTCTGTGTTGGATTGTACAATACCTGCCCTCCTCTGTATTATGTGTATCCCTTTGATGAAGAGAAGTGTACTCTCTTCTGAAAGATATAGACACACCGCTGAATCACTGTCTGAAGCCCACCACAGTAGCCCACGTCACGTGATCATCTAGACCTGCTGCAGCTAATGGCAGAAGTTATACCAGTGAATCACAGCGAGTAAAGGAAGATAACGTATTCAAAGATATGGTGCCTGAGCTAGTACCTAAAGCACTAGTGAACAGAGAACAGAGAAGTTCACTAGCCTGGTCCCAGATCTGTTTGTGCGGTCTTGTCTTGGTTGACAATTACCATAGGATGGGCTATACAAAGAGATCCTGTTAAAATAGTATTATAATTTCCTAATTATTTTGGGGCTATACAGCACAAGCACACCTCAGACCAGGCTGGGGGGAAAAAAAACACCTCACTGGCTCACTACTAGAGGTCTTTTTGGACCCCGTTCTGAAATGGACCTGGGGCTTTCCCACCCGGACCTGATATGCATAAATATATATCTTTTTTAAATAGAGACCCGTTCCGAACGGACCCGAGGACAACTAAACCCGTTCCGTATAGACCTAGTCGGATCCAGACCAGGTCTGATCCGAGTGAGTAAAGTCATTTTTTTAAGCTACTTTATTAGCCGGAGCATATAATGCTCGAGAGGAGGGACAGGGAGGCAGAAGTGCCACTCTAGCTGGCTGAGCAGGGAGGGAGAGACGAGAGACGGTAACCAACCAAGACGGTAACCAACCAAGCCGACCTGCCCTATAGTAGACTATTAGCTGCGATAGCTAGGTTATTTATCATAAAATATGATTACGTAGTACCTATCTTGACTGCATCAAACCTGGAGAAGCTAGTCAAGCTAGCTAACGTTAGCTAGTTAGGCTCATTGAGGCTGGAGTGCGTGCGCTTTCTCATCCTACAGTTACACACAACAACGACTCCGTTCAGAATATAAAGTAGCAGCCTACCTGTTGGCTCTTGGTCATTGTAGCCTGTCCTTTAACTTTGAATTCCATCTTCCATTGATTAGATATCTTCTAACTTATATGACTGTAGCCTATTGCCCATCTGATTGGCAGACAAGAACAAGCTACATGCTCCTGTCCGGTGAAAAGCAAGAGAAGCAGCATAAATGATTACATCTCTCTCTCTCTCTCTCTTATCTCTCTTGCCTACCTACCTACCTGCCTGCCTGCCTGCCTGCCTGCCTGCCTGCCTACCTGCCTGCCTGCCTGCCTGCCTGCATACATACCTGAAACCTGTGACAATCATATCCGTCCCGTGACATTATTTTGAATTCTGGATCCGGACCTGCTCGGGTCTCGGTTTATTCGGGTACAGATGGATCCGTGAAGGCCTCTACTCACTACCTGTTCTGTGGTTCCCTAGGTGATGAGTTGGAGTCCCTGATTGGATCACTATCTGTTCTGTTGTTCCCTAGGTGATGAGTTGGAGCGTCTGATTGGATCACTATCTGTTCTGTTGTTCCCTAGGTGATGAGTTGGAGTACCTGCGGCCCAACATTTACCGTAATGTAGCTCGTCAGCTGAACATCACCGTTGCGTCTGAGAGCGTGGTGTCCGATGCCTTCCTGGCTGTGGCTGCAGAGATCTTCTCCACCGGTAGGACAATGCCTATTCACTACTACACCACTAGGACTATACCTATTCACTACTACACCACTACGACTATACCTATTCACTACTACACCAGTAGGACTATACCTATTCACTACTACACCAGTAGGACTATACCTATTCACTACTACACCAGTAGGTACTATACCTATTCACTACTACACCAGTAGGACTATACCTATTCACTACTACACCAGTAGGACTATACCTATTCACTACTACACCAGTAGGACTATACCTATTCACTACTACACCAGTAGGACTATACCTATTCACTACTACACCAGTAGGACTATACCTATTCACTACTACACCAGTAGGGACTATACCTATTCACTACTACACCAGTAGGACTATACCTATTCCTACTACACCAGTAGGACTATACCTATTCACTACTACACCAGTAGGACTATACTATTCACTACTACACCAGTAGGACTATACCTATTCACTACTACACCAGTAGGACTATACCTATTCACTACTTACACCAGTAGGACTATACCTATTCACTACTACACCACTTAGGACTATACCTATTCACTACTACACCAGTAGGACTATACCTATTCACTACTACACCAGTAGGACTATACCTATTCACTACTACACCAGTAGGACTATACCTATTCACTACTACACCAGTAGGACTATACCTATTCACTACTACACCAGTAGGACTATACCTATTCACTACTACACCAGTAGGACTATACCTATTCACTACTACACCAGTAGGACTTATCACTCTATTCACTATTCTTACACCAGTAGGACTATACCTATTCACTACTACACCAGTAGGACTATACCTATTCACTACTACACCAGTAGGACTATACCTATTCCACTACTACAACCAGTAGGACTATACCTATTCACTACTACACCAGTAGGACTATACCTATTCACTACTACACCAGTAGGACTATACCTATTCACTACTACACCAGTAGGACTATACTTTCACTACTACAAAAGACTATACCTATTCACACACCCAGTAGGACTATACCTATTCACTACTACACCAGTAGGACTATACCTATTCACTACTACACCAGTAGGACTATACCTATTCACTACTACACCAGTAGGACTATACCTATTCACTACTACACCAGTAGGACTATACCTATTCACTACTACACCAGTAGGACTATACCTATTCACTACTACACCAGTAGGACTATACCTATTCACTACTACACCAGTAGGACTATACCTATTCACTACTACACCAGTAGGACTATACCTATTCACTACTACACCAGTAGGACTATACCTATTCACTACTACACCAGTAGGACTATACCTATTCACTACTACACCAGTAGGACTATACCTATTCACTACTACCACCAGTAGGACTATACCTATTCACTACTACACCAGTAGGACTATACCTATTCACTACTACACCAGTAGGACTATACCTATTCACTACTACACCAGTAGGACTATACCTATTCACTACTACACCAGTAGGACTATACCTATTCACTACTACACCAGTAGGACTATACCTATTCACTACTACACCAGTAGGACTATACCTATTCACTACTACACCAGTAGGACTATACCTATTCACTACTACACCAGTAGGACTATACCTATTCACTACTACACCAGTAGGACTATCCTATTCACTACTACACCGTAGGACTATACCTATCACTACTACACCAGTAGGACTATACCTATTCACTACTACACCAGTAGGACTATACCTATTCACTACTACACCAGTAGGACTACCTATTCACTCTACACACCAGTAGGACTATACCTATTCCACTACTACACCAGTAGGACTATACCTATTCACTACTACACCAGTAGGACTATACCTATTACTACACCATTAGACAACCTATTCACTACTACACCACTAGGTACTCTACCTATTCACTACTACACCAGTAGGACTATACCTATTCACTACTACACCAGTAGGACTATACCTATTCACTACTACACCAGTAGGGACTATAACCTATTCACCTACTACACCCAGTATGGACTATACCTATTCACTACTACACCAGTAGGACTATACCTATTCCACTGCTACACCAGTAGGACTATACCTATTCACTACGTGGACTATATATCACCATAGACTTCCTATCACTCTACACCAGTAGGACTATACCTATTCACTACTACACCAGTAGGACTATACCTATTCACTACTACACCAGTAGGACTATACCTATTCACTACTACACCATAGGACTATACCTATTCACTACTACACCAGTAGGACTATACCTATTCACTACTACACCAACATGCTTATGACCAAATATACACTATCACCTGGACTAAATCTACAACCAGTAGGACTATACCTATTCACTCACACCATAGGACTAACCTATCACTACTACACCATAGGACTATACCTATTCACTACTACACCAGTAGGACTATACCTATTCACTACTACACCAGTAGGACTATACCTATTCACTACTACACCAGTAGGACTATACCTATTCACTACTACACCAGTAGGACTATACCTATTCACTACTACACCAGTAAGACTATACCTATTCACTACTACACCACTAGGACTATACCTATTCACTACTACACCAGTAGGACTATACCTATTCACTACTACACCAGTAGGACTATACCTATTCACTACTACACCACTAGGACTATACCTATTCACTACTACACCAGTAGGACTATACCTATTCACTACTACACCAGTAGGTCTATACCTCTCTGACAACAAGCCTGGGGCAAACAAACAATTGCACATTTTACATGACCTGTGTTGACTCGGATATGATCTTTTCAGCATTATGGTTCCATCTACTATCTACAGTATGGTGGATTCATAACCAGGCCAGCTCAACTTTGTTTGCCTTGGCTCGGTTCGGCTTAGTAGTGTGAAAAAACCTGAAATGTATGGACGACTGGTTATAATGTATCTGCGTTGTAACATGATGCCAGTGGCAATGTTGGCACAGAGTTATTTTATTGTGGCAAATATTAGCAAGAATATTCATGGCAAAGAGAAGTAAGCAAGCACAGAGGATGTCGAGGGCCTATTAGCAGTGTGCTTTGTTTGGAAAAGGAGGAACTAGTGGATTCATTATCAATCAAACAGAAGATATTTCAACTTTGGGAGCACAAGCTTGACTCACTTTAAGGAAGACCAGCTCTCAGTATTGTGTGTTACCATTATTTTACCACTCTTTAAAATGATTTACTGACGGGGGGCAAAGCATAGTTCTGTGGGAGAAGGTAGAAATAGACCACTGCTGACATTTTTGTACACATTCAGTCTTTGCCGTCTTTCAATTTAAACACTCTGAGCAACCTGGAGCGTGTAGAGTAGAGATTGAGACTTAGCCATGAGACTGTGGAAGACCGAACGCTCATTCCCCCAGGAGCCTGAAAAATGTATTCTTGCCATGGCTCTGGGCTCATATTCACAAAATTAGGAGTGCTGATGTATAGTCAGTTTTGCCTTTTTAGAGGGTCTTCACACTTACCAAAATACCCTCGGCTACACATATTTCTACTAAACTTGTCACGTCTTGACCACTACCTCCAGATGTAGCGCACGACACTCGCCCGAAAGCTGCCCCCCCTCTAAACAGGGCAGTGTAAACTAAATTGTATCGTTGAGCCAACAATCTTACAGTAAAAATTGCAATAGCAGAGCAATGTTTTTTTAAACATCTGAAATATAGACTTTTACCTTATTTTTTTAGACTTGTTTTCAGTTGCAATTTGCTTTTACCTTATATAGGCCTAATGACTTACACGATATTGATCAAATGAAGTCTGGTTTTTTTCTAAGGTAACTTTTAATATGCTAGTGTCAGCCTAAGAGCTCCTATCTAGCTACGGTTCAGTTTAAGGTCAGCCTTCAGCTAACAGCCAGCACGTTGATGTGAGACGGATGAATAAATTATTTTTGTTTAGCTAGCTAGCTAGCTAGCTAACATTACCTAGCTGTGTAGCCTAGCTAATATTATAATATGAATAACAGCGTATGATAACGTTACTGTACTTTTACATTCGTATGGGAGGGGTAAACGTTCATTATTGATATGCTAATGTTACTTGATCATGAAGCATGTTGTTAGCTAGCTGGCTAGCAGGAGTTAGCTAGCTGTGTATTGTCAGCTAATTTAATGTCTACGGACGAGAAAATAGACCCTTTAGTTTTCTGCACATGCTTGTGAATTGTTGCATTATTCAAGAGTGTAATATGGTTTGGTTGCGTTATTCAATAGTGTAATGTTTTAGAAGAAAAGTTCAGATAGCTCGGATTATTAAATAGTTAGTGCTTAGTGGCTAGTGGCTACTGTGATATTTATGGTCATTGAGCTGCGGACCCAGAATGTCGCGTAGCCAGGCACAATGAAAGGTAAGACGAGGATGTCATGTGAATTGAAAAGTAGAAATCTCTTTAAGCACTTCGCTTCAGACTCTTCTTCATCTCTCGTAGTGGGAATAGGGCCTTAGATCACAATGAATCACATGGAGGGGGGGGGGGGACCAGACCAGGGCCCGTATTCACAAAGCATCTCGGAGTAGGAGTGCTGATCTAGGATCAGGGCCCGTATCCACAAAGTGCCGATCTTTGTGGATACGGGCCCTGAGCCTGGATCAGCACTCCTATACTCTGAGACGATTGATACATACGGCCCCCTGGTCGGGTGGGTCTCCTCCTGTCAGACTCGGAATGGAACTGGTCGAGGGGAAGAATTCTGGAACCAATATTCGGTTAGAATACGACAACCAGGAGCCTGGAAGCTGTGACTTCTAGACTGTAGATTCATTCCTGTTGCTGCTCTGCTCTCCCATCAGAACAGAACTGGTAGAGGGCTGAACTCTAGACCGGCCCATATTAGGTTAGAAAATGCCCATGCCAGAGATTACAGACTGTTCTGTTAGGCCCCACCCAGCCCAGGGAGTTCACTCCACAACTTTTAACAGCCTTCTCCAGAGCAATTCCCTACAATCCCCACCCTGCTACAGTAACAGTAACCCAATTTAAAGGGGCAATTAAAGGGATAGTTTGACATTTTGGCAATTTAAGCACTTTTTTTCTACTTACCGAGAGTCCGATGAACTCATGGCTACCATTTTATATGTCTCTGCGTGCAGTTTGAAAGGACGTTGAAGGTAGTTTCTGGAGCCATCGCTAAATAACTAACTAACTAACTAACTAACTAACTAACTAACTAACTAACTAACTAACTAACTAACTAACTAATGGGAAGTCTACAAGAGCAGCTAGCATGTTAGAAAAAAAGGGGCTTAAAAGGGATAAGTGGAAAAAAAGGGTATAGTTGCCAAAATGTCGAAGTTTCCCTTTAAGGAGCGGCAACTCAAGGGCAAACATCAGTTGCGTGTTCCAAGAGGTACCCTATTCCCTTTAGAGTGCACTACTTTAGACCAGCCCATAGGGAACGAGGAGCCATTTGGGATGCACCCTTAACTGAATGTACTGTCTGAAGTATTCTTCTGAGAACCATAACTGTGGTTTTAAGCAGACAGGCATACAGTAAGTGGCTACAACAGGATGGTGAAATGAGATCATATCTGTATTCTGGGCATCCTGTTAGTAGGAAGAAAAGCTGCAGAGCCTTTCATAAAGCTTTCTCCTGTATTGAACCACACAGGGCAGGTCATTTTTATAACAGGCTTATCAGAACTGGACCAGGTCCATTCGGTCCTGTTGTTAATCTGCTGTTGACCCACAGTGCCTTGCAAAAGTATTCATCCCCCTCGCCGTTTTTCCTATTTTGTTGCATTACAACCTGTAATTTGAATAGATCTTTACTTGGATTTCATGTAATGGACATACACAAAATAGTCCAAATTGGTGAAGTGAAATGAAAAAAATAACTTGTTTCAAAAAATACATAATGGAAAAGTGGTGCGAGCATATGTATTCACCCCCTTTGCTATGAAGCCCCTAAATAAGATCTGGTGCAACCAATTACCTTCAGAAGTCACATAATTAGTTAAATAAAGTCCACCTGTGTGCAATCTAAGTGTCACATGATCTGTCACATGATCTCAGTTTTTTATATATATACACCTGTTCTGAAAGGCCCCAGAGTCTGCAACACCACTAAGCAAGGTGCACCACCAAGCAAGCGGGTCAGGGACAAAGTTGTGGAGAAGTACAGATTAGGGTTGGGTTATAAAAAAATATCAGAAACTTTGAACATCCCACGGATGGAAAGAATATGGCACCAAAGATGACCCTGAAGGAGCTGCAAAGCCCCACAGCGGAGATTGGAGTATCTGTCCATAGGACCACTTTAAGCCGTACACTCCACAGAGCTGGCCTTTACGGAAGAGTGGCCAGAAAAAAGCCATTGCTTAAAGAAAAAAATAAGCAAACACATTTGGTGTTCGCCAAAAGGCATGTGGGAGACTCCCCAAAAATATGGAAGAAAGTACTCTGGTCAGAAGAGACTAAAATTGAGCTTTTTGGCCATCAAGGAAAACGCTATGTCTGGCGCAAACCCAACACCTCTCATCACCCCGAGAACACCATCCCCACAGTGAAACATGGTGGTGGCAGCATCATGCTGTGGGGATGTTGTAGCTCATTTGGTAGAGCATGGCGCTTGCAACGCCAGGGTTGTGGGTTCGATTCCCACGGGGGCCCAGTATGAAAAATGTATGCATTCACTAACTGTAAGTCGCTCTGGATAAAAGCATCTGCTAAATTACAAAAAAATAAATAATATTCATCGGCAGGGACTGGGAAACTGGTCAGAATTGTTGGATGGTGCTAAATACAGGGAAATTCTTGACGGAAACCTGTTTCAGTCTTCCAGAGATTTGAGACTGGGACAGAGGTTCACCTTCCAGCAGGACAATGACCCTAAGCATACTGCTAAAGCAACACTTGAGAAGGTTTAAAGGGAAACATTTAAATGTCTTGGAATGGCCTAGTCAAAGCCCAGACCTTAATCCAATTGAAAATCTGTGGTATGACTTAAAGATTGCTGTACACCAGCAGAACCCATCCAACTTGAAGGAGCTGGAGCAGTTTTGCCTTGAAGAATGGTCAATAATCCCAATGGCTAGATGTGCCAACCTTATAGAGACATAGCCCAAGAGACTTGCAGCTGTAATTGCTGCAAAAGGTGGCTCTACAAAGTATTGACTTTTGGAGTGTCTCTCACTGTTCAAATAAACCTACAATTAAAATTATAGACTGATCATGTCTTTGTCAGTGGGCAAACGTACAAAATCAGCAGGGGATCAAATACTTTTTTCCCTCATTGTATAGCTATACTAATCATAGTCTAGTTGTGTTGACACTGTCCCATTCTGTCAGGGAATGACTGTTGAATCCATGACGTTGGACTTAAACCTTGTATTTCACAGAGTCCATTACATTGTCAGTTGATTATATTACATTTTCAGAACACTAGAACTATTTGTTTGGATGATAAAGAAGTGAGAAATCCTTTTATGTTACTTAGAACTGAAATGAGCTTATTTGGACAAAGGAATGAGACTGTGCTTGGAACTATTCAGCCCTCATAGCCAGAAGACCTTACCATAAATGGTAGTGTACTAGAAAAAATCCTTACTGAAAACAAATGCTTCAAGTTTGATTAATGTCTGAGCTAGTAAGGATTTAGTATAACCCTTTTAGAGATCGCCTGGCTGTTTCTGGTGTATCGGTGCTGTTTTGTTCACGGGCAGTTGGACATGCTGCTGAATGCCTGGCTGCTGATTCTATTTGCATCTCTCTCTCTCTCTCTCTCTCACGCTCTCTCTCTCTCTCCCTCTCTCTCTCTCTCTCTCTCTCTCTCTCCTCTCTCTCTCTCTCTCTCTCTCTCTCTCTCTCTCCCCCCCCCCCCCCCCCCCCCCCCCCCCCCCCCCTCTCTCTCTCTCTCTGCCCCCCTTCACTGAAGGAGTTCCTGGCAGAGATGCAGTCAGCTCCTCAAACACACTCGGCTCCCTCTGGCAGACAGGGAGCTCAGACAGGCAGGCAGGCAGACTGACAGACAGGGAGCTCAGACAGGCAGGCAGACAGGGAGCTCAGACAGACAGACAGGCAGGCAGACAGGGAGCTCAGACAGGCAGGCAGACAGGGAGCACAGACAGGCAGGCAGGCAGGCGGACAGGGAGCTCAGACAGGCAGGCAGGCAGGAAGACTGACAGACAGGGAGCTCAGACAGGCAGGCAGACAGGGAGCTCAGGCAGGCAGGCAGACAGGGAGCTCAGACAGGCAGGCAGGCAGGAAGACTGACAGACAGGGAGCTCAGACAGGCAGGAAGACAGGGAGCTCAGGCAGGCAGGCAGACAGGGAGCTCAGACAGGCAGGCAGGCAGGAAGACTGACAGACAGGGAGCTCAGACAGGCAGGCAGACAGGGAGCTCAGACAGGCAGATAGGAAGACTGACAGACAGGGAGCTCAGACAGGCAGGCAGACAGGGAGCTCAGACAGACAGACAGGCAGGCGGACAGGGAGCTCAGACAGGCAGGCAGGCAGGAAGACTGACAGACAGGGAGCTCAGACAGGGAGCTCAGACAGACAGACAGGCAGGCAGACAGGGAGCTCAGACAGACAGACAGGCAGGCGGACAGGGAGCTCAGACAGGCAGGCAGGCAGGAAGACTGACAGACAGGGACCTCAGACAGACAGGCAGACAGACAGACAGACAGACAGACAGACAGACAGACAGACAGACAGGGACCAGACAGACAGACAGGACCAGACAGACAGACAGACAGACAGACAGACAGACAGACAGACAGACAGACAGACAGACAGACAGACAGACAGACAGACAGACAGACAGACAGACAGGCAAGCAGAAAGACAGACAGACAGGGAGCTCAGACAGGAAAGCAGAAAGACAGACAGGCGGCTCAGACAGACAGGGAGCTCAGAGAGACAGACAGGGAGCTCAGACAGACAGGGAGCTCAGAGAGACAGACAGGGAGTGCAGACAGGCAGGCAGACAGACAGGGAGCTCAGAAATTCACTGCTTTCTCATGCATCCTTCAGGCAGCATGATCATGTAGAACCCAAACCATGATCTCATGTCATTGCTATACAGTCTCCGTATTATATATGAATAATTTTACATTATCCATTTTGTAATAAACTTAAATGAAATGGTAAATAAAAAGGTTTACATTTGACACTGTTAAGAGTATTGAAATGTGTGGGAAGGGGTGACCTGGGTGACCTTATGACCTCATGTCTGAAGTCTGCTTGACTGACTCAAGACTGCATTCAGTCAATATTGGAGAGCGAGTGTCTGCACCGTTAGTCATGCTGGAGGTGTATGTAATGCGTCTGGTGTCTGAGTCTCTGTCTGCGTCTCTCCTCAGGTATAACGTGGGGGAAGGTGGTGTCCCTGTACGCGGTGGCGGGTGCCCTGGCGGTGGACTGCGTGCGCCATGGTCACCCAGCCATGGTCCACACCATCGTAGACTGCATGGGGGAGTTTGTCCGCAAGAGCCTGCTCTCCTGGTTGAAGAGGAGAGGAGGATGGGTAAGAGTTTCTATGCTCACCACTCCATGGTTTCACCCATAGACATCGCATTGCTAAAATGAAAAGCCCATCAGACAACCGCAATTTGACCGAATAAATATGGGTACACTCAGTATGGCTGACTTGGTATTCAAATCAAATCACATTTTATTTGTCACATGCGCCGAATACAACAGGTGTACCTTACCGTGAAATGCTTACTTACAAGCCCTTAACCAACAACGCAGTTCAGTTAAGAAAATATTTACTAAATAAGTTTAAAAAATAAAATATAAAAGTAACACAATAAAATAACAATAACGAGGCTATATACAGAGGGTAACGGTACCGAGTCAATGTGCGGGGGTACAGGTTAGTCGAGGTAATTTGTACATGTAGGTAGGGGTAAGGTGACTATACATAGATAATAAACAGAGAGTAGCAGCAGTGTAAAAACAAAGGGGGGGGTCGTCAATGTAAATAGTCTGGGTGGCCATTTGATTAATTGTTCAGCAGTCTTATGGCTTGGGGGTAGAAGCTGTTAAGAAGCCTTTTGGACCTAGACTTAGCGCTCCGGTACCGCTTGCCGTGCGGTAGCAGAGAGAACAGTCTATGACTAGAGTGGCTGGAGTCTTTGACAATTTATAGGACCTTCCTCTGACACCGCCTGGTATATAGGTCCTGGATGGCAGGGAGCTTGGCCCCAGTGATGTACTGGGCCGTACGCACTACCCTCTGTAGCGCCTTGCGGTCGGAGGCCGAGCAGGTAAACAGTGGATGTATGTATATGGTTTCACCATCATGGTGGTCTGTGTCTCTGCAGCGGGGAAGGCGGTTGAGGGAAGAGGGGTTGACTGCTGATATTGCTCAGACCTCACTGCCTTGTGGGAATGTTTACCTTTCATATAATGTGGGTCTACAGCAGGTCCTGTCAGTGGTATGTGTAGCATGGATACTAGTCGGAACCCTAACCCTGTCAGTGGTATGGGGCTAGAACATGCAAGTTAGGAAACACAAAGAGAAGTTACATTGCTCAGCTTTGACCTCTTAGTAACAGGCCTGTGGTTCAGTGATTGACTGAAGTCTGCGCCGCCTCCCGTGGTTTGTTTTAGTATAGGTTATGTGTTTACATTTACATTTACATTTTAGTCACTTAGCAGACGCTCTTAACCAGAGCGACTTACAGGAGCAATTAGGGTTAAGTGCCTTGCTCAAGGGCACATTAACGTCATTTAGCAGACGCTCTTAGCCAGAGCGACTCACGAATTGGTGCGTTCACCCTATAGCCAGTGGGATAACCACTTTACAATTTGGGGGGGGGGGGGGGGTTAGAAGGAATACTTTATCCTATCCCAGGTATTCCTTAAAGAGGTGGGGTTTCAAATGTCTCCGGAAGGTGGTGAGTGACTCCGCTGTCCTGGCGTCGTGAGGGAGCTTGTTCCACCATTGGGGTGCCAGAGCAGCGAACAGTTTTGACTGGGCTGAGCGGGAGCTGTGCTTCCGCAGAGGAAGGGGAGCCAGCAGGCCAGAGGTGGATGAACGCAATGTGTTGATAATGGATATGTGCTACTTTAACACAGAATTGTACACACATGATTGATTTCCTAGATGACAGACTCGGTACTAAGACGGTGTACAGTAAAAAAAGCCCATGTCTGAACTCTTAGAAAAAAGGGTTCCAAAAGTGTTATTTGGCTGTCCCCCATAGGAGAACCCTTTTCGTTTCCAGGTAGAACCTTTTTTGGTTCCAGGTAGAACTCTTTTGGGTTCTTCCTGGAACCAAAAGGTGTTCTTCAAAAGGGTTCTCCTATGGGGACAGCCGAATAACCCTTTTAGATTCTAGATAGCAGAGAGTCTGTACATATACGTTCTGCATGACTATGACGGCTGTACGTGTTCCTATGTTGTTTATATTTTGAGGCAGACTGCCTGCAGTACGTACAGTACCGGTCAAAAGTTTGGACACACCTACTCATTCAAGGGTTTTTCTTTCTTTTTACATTACATTTTCTACATTGTAGAATAATAGTGAAGACATCAAAACTATGAAATAACACATATGGAATCATGTAGTAACCAAAAAAGTGTTAAACAAATCAAAATATATTTTAGACTTGAGATTCTTCAAATAGCCACCCTTTGCCTTGATGACAGCTTTGCACACTCTTGGCATTCTCTCAACAAGCTTCACCTTGAATGCTTTTCCAACAGTCTTGAAGGAGTTCCCACATATGCTGAGCACTTGTTGGCTGCTTTTCCTTCACTCTGCCGTCCGACTCATCCCAAACCATCTCAATTGGGTTGAGGTCGGGGGATTGTGGAGGCCAGGTCATCTGATGCAGCACTCCATCACTCTCCTTATTGGTAAAATAGCCCTTACACATCTGGAGGTGTGTTGGGTCATTGTCCTGTTGAAAAACAAGTGATAGTCCCACTAAGCCCAAACCAGATGGGATGGCGTATTGCTGCAGAATGCTGTGGTAGCCATGCTGGTTAAGTGTGCCTTGAATTCTAAATAAATCACAGACAGTGTCACCAGCAAAGCACCCCCACACCATAACACCGCCTCCTCCATGCTTTACGGTGGGAACCACACATGGAGAGATCAGCCGCTTACCCACACCACGTCTCACAAAGACACGGCGGTTGGAACCAAAAATCTCCAATTTGGACTCCAGACCAAAGGACAAATTTCCACCTGTCTAATGTCCATTGCTCGTGTTTCTTGGCCCAAGCAAGTCTCTTCTTCTTATTGGTGTCCTTTTAGTAGTGGTTTATTTGCAGCAATTATACCATGAAGGCCTGATTCACACAGTCTCCTCTGAACAGTTGAGATGTGTCTGTTACTTGAAGTCTGTGAAGCATTTATTTGGGCTGCAATTTCTGAGGCTGGTAACTCTAATGAACTTATCCTCTGCAGCAGAGGTAACTCTGGGTCTTCCATTCCAGTGGTGGTCCTCATGAGAGGCAGTTTCATCATAGCGCTTGATGGTTTTTGCGACTGCACTTGAAGAAATGTTCAAAGTTCTTGAAATGTTCCGTATTGACTGACCTTCATGTCTTAAAGTAATGATGGACTGTCGTTTTGCTTTGCTTATTTGAACTGTTCTTGCCATAATATTACATTTACATTTACGTCATTTAGCAGACGCTCTTATCCAGAGCGACTTACAAATTGGTGCATTCACCTTATAGCCAGTGGGATAACCACTTTACAATGTTATTTATATTTTTTATAATAATTATTTATTCCTTTTTTTAACTTTATTTATATACTTTTATTTTTTATTATTTATTTATTTTTTAACTATTTTTTATTTTCTTAACTTTTTTTATGTATTTTTTGTTTTCTTTTTGTAATATATATATATATATATATATATATATATATATATATATATTTATTTTTTTGGGGAGGGGGGGGGGGGGGGTAAGGGGGGGGGTAGAAGGATTACTTTATCCTATCCCAGGTATTCCTTAAAGAGGTGGGGTTTCAAATGTCTCCGGAAGGTGGTGAGTGACTCCGCTGTCCTGGCGTCGTGAGGGAGCTTGTTCCACCATTGGGGTGCCAGAGCAGCGAACAGTTTTGACTGGGCTGAGCGGGAACTATGCTTCCGCAGAGGAAGGGGAACCAGCAGGCCAGAGGTGGATGAACGCAATGCCCTCGTTTGGGTGTAGGGACTGATCAGAGCCTGAAGGTACGGAGGTGCCGTTCCCCTCACAGCTCCATAGGCAAGCACCATGGTCTTGTAGCAGATGCGAGCTTCAACTGGAAGCCAGTGGAGTGTGCGGAGGAGCGGGGTGACGTGAGAGAACTTGGGAAGGTTGAACACCAGACGGGCTGCGGCATTCTGGATGAGTTGTAGGGGTTTAATGGCACAGGCAGGGAGCCCAGCCAACAGCAAGTTGCAGTAATCCAGACGGGAGATGACAAGTGCCTGGATTAGGTCCTGTGCCGCTTCCTGTGTAAGGCAGGGTCGTACTCTCTGAATGTTGTAGAGCATGAACCTACAGGATTGGGTCACCGCCTTGATGTTAGCGGAGAACAACAGGGTGTTGTCCAGGGTCACGCCAAGGCTCTTCGCACTCTGGGAGGAGGACACAACGGAGTTGTCAACCGTGATGGCGAGATCATGGAACAGGCAGTCCTTCCCCGGGAGGAAGAGCAGCTCCGTCTTGCCAAGGTTCAGCTTGAGGTGGTGATCCGTCATCCATACTGATATGTCTGCCAGACATGCAGAGATGCGATTCGCCACCTGGTTATCAGAAGGAAGAAAGGAGAAGATTAGTTGTGTATCGTCAGCGTAGCAATGATAGGAGAGGCCATGTGAGGATATGACAGAGCCAAGTGACTTGGTGTATAGCGAGAATAGGAGAGGGCCTAGAACTGAGCCCTGGGGGACACCAGTGGTGAGAGCACGTGGCAGATGCTTGGAATTTAGAGTGGTAGAAAGTGGCCTTAGCAGCAGAAACAGATGAAGGAAATGTAGAGAGGAGGGAGTGAAAAGATGCCAGGTCCGCAGGGAGTCTAGTTTTCTTCCATTTCTGCTCAGCTGCCCGGAGCTCTGTTCTGTGAGCTCGCAATGAGTCATCAAGCCACGGAGCTGGAGGGGAGGACCAAGCCGGCCGGGAGGATAGGGGACATAGAGAGTCAAAGGATGCAGAAAGGGAGGAGAGGAGGGTTGAGGAGGCAGAATCAGGAGATTGGAGGGAGAAGGATTGAGCAGAGGGAAGAGATGATAGGATGGAAGAGGAGAGAGTAGCGGGAGAGAGAGAGCGAAGGTTGCGACGGCGCATTACCATCTGTGTAGGGGCAGAGTGAGTAGTGTTGGAGGAGAGCGAGAGAGAAAAGGATACAAAGTAGTGGTCGGAGACTTAGAGGGGAGTTGCAGTGAGATTAGTAGAAGAACAGCATCTAGTAAAGATGAGGTCAAGCGTATTGCCTGCCTTGTGAGTAGGGGGGGACGGTGAGAGGGTGAGGTCAAAAGAGGAGAGGAGTGGAAAGAAGGAGGCAGAGAGAAATGAGTCAAATGTAGACGTAGGGAGGTTGAAATCCCCCAGAACTGTGAGGGGTGAGCCATCCTCAGGAAATGAACTTATCAAGGCGTCAAGCTCATTGATGAACTCTCCAAGGGAACCTGGAGGGCGATAGATGAGAAGGATATTAAGCTTAAATGGGCTAGTGACTGTGACAGCATGGACTTGGTCTTTTACCAAATAGGGCTATCTTCTGTATACCACCCCTACCTTGTCACAACACAACTGATTGGCTCAAACACATTAAGAAGGAAAGAAATTCCACAAATTAACTTTTAAGAAGGCACACCTGTTAATTGAAATGCATTCCAGGTGACTACCTCATGAAGCTGGTTGAGAGAATGCCAAGAGTGTGCAAAGCTGTCATCAAGGCAAATGGTGGCTATTTGAAGAATCTCAAATCTAAAATATATTTAGATTTGTGTAACACTTTTTTGGTTACTACACGATTCCATATGTGTTATTTCATAGTTTTGATGTCTTCACTATTATTCTACAATGTAGAAAATAGTAAAAACTCTTGAATGAGTAGGTGTTCTAAAACTTTTGACCCGGTAGTGTATGTCATGGACTTTCCCTTCCATACCCACCAATCAGGTCTGTCCTGAACGTGTCCATCACAGCCTCAAGGTGTCCGCTGAGAGAATAGCTCAATAAAACTGAGGCAAAGAAGAGCCTGAACACAACACAATCATGACAGTGCAAAACAAAACTCCCTGCTCTGTACGTGGTAGAAAGGCAGGGTGTTTTGCTAACTCGAGGCTTTCTCCTCAAAGCATGAGGTGTCTGTAATAGCTATTTCTAAAAAACCAACATCCAGAAAT